CAGGTGTACAAAATGTATCAAATAGTTTCTAAATATAGTAAATGACTGTTGATACATTAAACTTTTTTGGAAATCTTTCATTTAAATTTTTTTTACAAATTGTACAAATTTAATTGAAAAGTTTATACATAAATCTTCATCATCACTAGAATTGTCACTATCATCAGATGCATCGCATTCAACGGATTTGCTTTCTTAAACTTTTACTTCATTCTCTTCTGATTCCCACAGCATGTCATCATCTGTCCCATCCATTGCATTGGATATGCAACATTTTTTAAAACCTTTAATGATTTTTGGTGGTGGCGTCTAGTAAAATACCTAAGAAAATTGAAAGTGCATGAATATAATGCTCAGTCGATTTTTGGGTGGTTAGGGTGCTTGACTGGCAATCTTGATATTATTCTAACTACAGAATTGAGGAAAAACAAGACAATTGTGTGTTTCATAAATACATCATTTATTCACGACCATGGTTTTGCCAGTAAAGGCATCTTCAGGTACTGGCGAAACCATTGTCATGAATAAATGATGAATTTATGAAACATACAGTTGTTTTGTTTTCCTCAAATCTGAAATTATGGAGTTTCACCAAGTACCAACAATTTCAAGTATCAATTATACATTATTTGAAGTTAGAATTCACCAGAGTTCTCTACTAAGTTACAATAATCAAGAACTTTATTTGCTCTGTTAAACATATAGCAGAAGACTGTACGTATATTTTAGGGTATTTTTAAAGTATTTGCAAGAGCAAATTATATCAATTGCCATTAAAAAGTTGCAGTCATATTAAAACATTAGCATTTAGTATGAGAAAATAAAGATAAGGAATTAAAAACTTTATATTATGTGTGATTCAATATATCCAACTTACTTCAGTTGTTATTTTAAACAAACCTTAATACTGTCATTTTGTACAATGTATTTTTCTCCTAAAGGTTTAACTGTAGCAGCAGTGTGTGTATATCCTGCAAGAGTTGCCGACAGCGTAAAGTCCCTTAAATTCCTAGGAGCTAAGATACCAGTAGCTGCTGTAGCTACAGGTTTTCCAACAGGTCAATATTCTTTGGAGACAAGATTAGAGGAGATCAAAAGAGCTGTTGCTGATGGAGCTCAAGAAATAGACATTGTAATTAACCGAAATTATGCCCTTGGAGGAAACTGGGAAGGTGTGGGACTCTTTTTAACCCAAACTATCATTTTCAGTATAGATATTAATTTAGTTTTGAAAATAAGATAAATTTACAAAGAGTGGTATAAGTGTTTCGTTTTATTTCAAGAAGCTCTAGTGTGTATTGTGATATTGCAAAGTTTATACAGGTGAGTCATGGAGCATTATTCGAATATGCTGCTGATGTAAACTTTTATTTCTTAGCTTTGCTTGTATGTTTGAATAATAATTGCAGGAAAAGTAGGGTAAAAGTGTACTTGCCAGTTACAACAGTCATTATTTCTCTTGCTTTTAACATAACCTCCAAACAACGAGAAACCGTTTAGTCCTTCAAGTCTGTCCCTCCTTTCACACCCTCCATTTAATTCAGGAAATCAATTACCCTTCTAAACTCTGTAAAATGCTGTCTCCACTATTGCCAACATAAATTTATTCCACAAGTTAGTCATCTTGTTAGTAAAATAAAGTTGTTGTAACTGGAGCTTATCCTGTCTTTTCCATATCTTTAAACTTGTGCCCTCTCGTCCTATTATATTCAGAATATATTACAAAGGAACAAGAGTTCTTAATCCTACTTATCCTTCAGATAACCTTGTAAATTTAAGTAAAATATTTTTACCTTTCTTTTCTCAAGATTTGCTAGATTGGGTTAGAAGCTTCATAGTTTGAGGCCCCTAGTGAGTGTATTATTACACAGTGCATGGTTTTATTTTTACAGTATGTAATTAGGGTATTTTATTTCATGTACAAAATGTCATATATTTGAAAGTACTGAATATCACTGTGTTTACATACCTCGAATTGAACAGGTATATACAGAGAGGTGCAAATGATGAAAGAAGCATGTGGATCTGCTCACATGAAAACTATTCTAGCCACCGGAGAGCTCGGTACAATGACGAACGTATACAAAGCAAGTATCGTCTGTATGATGGCAGGTATTTAACAACAGTAATTACTTGGCCATAGTTGATAGATTTTGATATTTGTAAGTTGTTGTGTTTGTTGAAGTTAAATCCATAATTAACATGAAGAAGACACTTTAAAATTATTTAATAAAGATGAAATCCGTCATATATTTCATGAAGCAAGATCACATGGCCAAAAATTATGGATTTTAGAACACGCATCTCTGAATTTGTACAATAGAAATATGAATACATGTTAGGTAGGATACATATAAGTAATAACTATTTATGATTTTATATTATATTAGGAAATTTGCTAATATGATTAATGACTTGAGTTATACATTGTACCTGTGTGCAAGCTTTCAGAAAATTTTCTTTCAACAACAACAAACAAACAAACGATGAACAGAAATAAATAACATTAAAGATAAAGGTTAAAGTTCATTTATAATATATTTCATTTGTTATAACATATCTGATTGGCAGAATACAGTGAAATGCATAAATGTTTCCCAAGATGATAACTTGATCAAATGTTATGTTAGCTCAGTAGTATCTTGTGAATATTCACTTTATTGTTGAAGTAACTTTATATCAAGTATTGTAATTTTTTATAAATGTGCATTTAATGTTTTTGTATATGAGCATAGAAATTTTAGTTGTGTGGAAAGAAGGCACAAATAGTTTTTTCAATTACAGAAATATACTCATAAAGAAATTATTTTTGTTGATGTTTATAACGATTTAAACACTTATTTGTGAATATTTTTAAATCAGGTGCTGATTTTATCAAAACCTCAACTGGTAAGGAAACAGTGAATGCAACACTTCCAGTGGGCCTTGTGATGACCAGAGCAATTCGAGATTATTACCAAATCACAGGATATAAGGTAGATTTACACCTTTCTAATATATAAACTCAAGAATGCAGAATATATTGCAAAATATTTATGAGGTAATTGCTCAAAGTTGTTTTAAAGTCAGCACGACAAACAGTGTAACATATGCGAGTCCACAGGTTACAGGAGAGCAACCTTTGAGAAAATGTGTGATGAGTGGACATTTGTTATTATGAGTTATATGCTTGTGTCATACCAAAACTAAGACAGTATAGTCATGTCCATAATGTCACTTACATGCTGGCTGGTGCCCAGTAAGATGTTGCTTGCTCATACTTTTGGTGTGAACCAGGTTCTCAACTGCCACTTTTATCATGCTCTTCATTTCTCACCTCTGCTTTCATCAGGTTCTCAGAAGATACAACTCTATCACTGTGAACCCATTCCTCAGTTGAAAAATGTCATTTTTACATTAAGTTCAGGAAGTTTCTGGGGAGATTGTGTAATATCTGATACCATTGTCAGGATAAATGCAGTACTTAAAAATGTTGATGTCAGAATTGAACGGTTGGCATTATAACTACAAGACAAATAAATTAAACTAACATACACAATACAATAAAGGAAAATTTATCATATTGAACAAAACCAACACAATGATGATTCCATTTCATGGATTTCCTTTAGAGTTGAATTTCTTAACGAGTTTTCATACGTATACATTTATTTGAGTTTAAAGTACCTTATATTGTGTTTGTTTACTTCCAGTTCAACATGACAGTCTTGAAATAAATGAATTCCTTTTTTTTTTCTGGCATTAGTTGACTTCTTTCAATGAGATCTGGCATTATGATAGTAAAAGCAACTTAATCATTATGTTTTGGGTTTTATTTATGAAATAAAAGTAATAACTTGGTACTTCTAATAGTATTTTATGTTTCACATAATGTGTTTTAAAGGTGCTAATGATACACACAAGACTCAATATCCAGTACCAATAACGAGTATGTTCCCCCTTGTGAAGTGAACAAATAATCTTTATTTGCAAACAGTATGCAAGTTATTCTCAAATAAGTATATAAACAAACATCATTGAATCTTGAACAGGAAGTTATCAAAAGTAAAACATGCATTCCTGAATGACTGCTACTGTGTACCACATGAAATTTGAACGAATTATTGAATAAATGTAAGAACAAACATAACTGAATCTAAAACAACTTAAACAAATATGTCTATATGAGCAAAGCTAAGAAATTCTGTTGAAAATACAATAATTTCATGTACATTATAAGATTTCACAAGAAAATTAGTATTGGTTTTTATAAAAAATGTGAAACACAAAGTAAAGTTTCTTTTACTTTATTAATTACGTAAAATGCGGATTATGAAATAAAAAAATAATAATTAGAAAATACTGACAATATTTGGTTATTTATTAGTGTTTTAAAACACAGTTACTGTGTATAAACACACTGAAAAATGTATATTTATATATTATAAGAGGATTGCAATCTACTAATTAACACTCCAACCTCCTCCCACAGTGGCTTTGGTTTGTTTTGAACGTCTTTTGGGCTTACTTTTCTGACCTGACCTACTAATATTTGGAACTAGGGCTTTTAACAAACACACCAAGACATATAGTATTTCAGTTTAATTTTTTTAAGTTAGATTTCTCAGTTTAGAAAGTTACTGAATTTTTTTCACCTAGCAGATGAAACCAGTGAAATAATATTGCAAAGAATAGTAATTAAAATATACCACAGTAATTGAAATAATAAAAAATGTACTCGAAAACTTGTTGCTTGAGTTTTATAACATATTGTAAAATGTATTATAGGTATATGTATTTTTGTTTCGAAGCTTGTTTTAAAAGTAAATACCAAACACATATATAGATTAACATGCCAACAATTTTGCTTTATGGATTATTATTGATAGTATAATATATTACAAATTGCATCAAGTTGTACTATGGTAATATAAGTGTCTGATTATTATTGGCATTAGAATACCACATGTTTATGTTACTCCAAAGTTCTAATAAATTGGATTTTCTTATATTGCAGAGAAGTAATTAGAAATGGTAGAGAAATTTTATAAATGTTTGACAATTGGCTATTGTTAAAATGCTAAATGATTTTTCATGTACAACATACCTCATCACTAGTCATTTTTTATATTTTCAGGCTACTATTAATTTTGAAATAATTCAATTTAATGTCGCCACATTTCTTCTTAACAATGGAACTTGAAAGAGAATAAGCTCAAAATTTGCCAAATATTTTTTTTAATGTAACATGAAAATAATACAAAATAAACTAAGGGAGAAAAATGTTCTTTTGTTTTTAAAACTACCAATATTTGTTGAATTTCACAAACTAAAAGATTTTTCTTTTCTTTGAAGCACTTGTGATATATATTGTGTATATGATTAATGTATTCATTGCATAGTACAGGTGAGATTCATGTCCAAAAGTTTGTTATTCCATCTCGTAGTTCATATTTTACTTAAATTGGCATTAGCTTGTGCCACAGGTTTTTAGTGGGTTGAGGTTAGAGGATTCTGATGGAGGTACCCAAGAGTTTATAATTTTCTCATGAAAAATATTTTACTGTAGTTTGAGGTATGGTTAAGGTCAATATTCTGCATTATGTCTTTGACATGCTTGGCATTGTGTTTCATCAACATTCTATGTGTATCCTGCATGGCAACCTTTTTGCTTGACATCTTGTACACATTCCCAAACTTTAGTTGCTTTGAATTTCTTTTCACCTGTTGTTTTGCAGGCCGAATTCATTATAGTGCTTATATTCGAGCAACCTGTAATTTCCCCAGTAAATTCAGACTCATTGGTTTTATCAGTAATGAAGTATTCATCCTTCTATTGTCATTAACTTAACAAGGATCTTCATTTTCCACTATTCTGGAAAGACATGCAAAGGTTATATTTAGGAAGTGGTAGGACCTGCAAAACCTACAGGTGTTTGTTAAGCATCTAATAAAGCTAAACTGCTGGGCATAAAAACAATGAACTCAAAACTTCACATGAGAATCCTGGAAAGAGGTACTCGTTTTATCTGCACAAAGATCCTTTCCATTTGGATACAGAGGAGTAAAAATATAAATTTGTTTGTGTGCTTAATTACAAAAAAACAAACTTATATTTTTACCTTTGACCACAGATGCCATAGCTCAGTCACTTAACCCATCCAGGTGAAAATCTCTCCCACGGATATTCATTCATTCATACGCTATGTGAACAGCAATGGTTTTTTCCCAAGAGCTTCTGGGCTTGGCATCAGGAATTGATCATTGTTTTGTATCAATAAAATCCATGCTAACAGCATCAATAAGAAAACAGCATATTACAGACTGTAAGAGAGAAAGTCATTGCTGCTTCTAGCACCTTTGAATGAATGAGTTTCCTTTTTATTAATATATGTGAAGAAAAAAAATAAGGTTGCCAACCATTGGTCTAGTTAATCCTATTAAATAGAAAATACCAGTGATGATTATACCTTGCCTTCTTGTTACATTTCATCATAAGCACAATTACTGCAATGCTTTGTAGTGACAAAAGAAAATAGTATTATAACAGCATTATTATATTACACAGGGAAAACCCCTTTAGTGACATAATGTTTCTTTTCCCAAAATAAACAGTATTTAAAATTTAACAAATATACTGAATAGTTCTTTAGGGGTATAACTTCTTCACTAACATTTTTATAACAATCATGATTTTTGCTGCACGAAAATATATATATCTCATTAATAACAAGAAATGCAGTTGTAAACTAACAATTTTAGTGTACTTATTTTAACATAAAATATGTTTACCATTTTACATTTCTATAAACAAAAAACTAAATATAATCCAATTGGGTTTGGTTTTCTGTTCAAAGTTATGGAAGAGCTAGTTCGTGAGCTGCTGCGTAGCGACCCGTTACATAATGGTACAGCTGACGTTCAATATCACCCAAAACACTACTTGCTCCAATTCGGAATAAATGAGGTTGCAACCATTCATTTCCAAGTTCTTCTTTCATTAACATCAGCCATGAAAGGGCATCCTTTGCAGTTCGTATTCCACCTGCTGGTTTAAAACCAACCTATGGAGAAAAAAAAATCATAATTATATCACAGAAATAACTCAAGAACTGTAAACTGCAGGTCAATTTTCATTTTTTTTGAAAAATTTAGGATTGTGTTGGGTCAGTGATAGTCATATAATTATTAATACCGATATGTGTATGTTCATTTACATACAACAAACAAGATGATTCAGTCACCAAATACATTTAACAACAAAAAATAAACAGCTTTTGTTTCATTTTGCAACACATAATGTATTGACTTCTTTGATACTGTACATTTAAAAACAAAAAATAAACAGTTATTGATTGATTTTGCAACGTATAATTTAATGGCTTCTTTAGTGCCGTACTTAACTGCACAGAATTGACAAATTTGGTGATATTTATTTGTTTTTAATCAAACACAAGATTCCAAGTTTTCTGTTGTCAGCCTATTTCTTGATGAATTCAATATGAATTTCATTTGTGAAAAATATTTGCTCGCATGTGCAACTTGAACCATAGGCTGACAAAAGAGCAAATGCAATTTTCTTTATGGAAAAAAACTTTAGTGGCAGTGATGTCCAACATAGTTATCATGTTATGGTGATTTAATTCACATTTCTAAGGTTTGGATGTAACTGTTTGAATTTATCAGTCCATAAAGTTGAACATCTGAAGTCAATTAATGCCAAAAAATTCAAAATATTGAAGTTGAAGAACATATTCATCAATTTTATGTTGTTTTTTTTAATAAACAAAACCATTGGACCATGCTACGTTAAATTTTGGAATCTATTTTCAAATTCCTATTTGATGTGGCTCATGCAACTAATCAACATATGGAAGTCCATATCATCAACTGTTTTCTCTTCTTCATCCATGTAAGATTTTATCATTGGGAAGTACCGAAACATTAAGGTTTTAATATTCTTAAATAAGAGCAGTTTACAACAAAAACTCTTCCATTCTGCATGCAGTTTTAAAATCATATGTTCATTTCCTCGTAG